AAATTAAACCTTCTGCTTACCACCCATATACATTGCTTCGCTTATCACTCATAAGCATCTTAAAGAACTGACCATAACACTAGTTAACATTTTTTTGCTAAGAAAATTTTTATTAATATATGCAAAAAATAAATATAAATATTTGGGACATAGCCTAGAATACATGACAAATCTCCTATGCTAATGACTATACAATTATTTTTTCAAATGATACTCCTCTATCCTAGCTCTCCTTCTATCTGATTTATCCTTCACACATGTCCTATCTTTCAACAAGCTAATGATTATACCTAAAACCTTCTTGACGTCCTTACGTAACATTTGATATTCTTCGGAGTTCTCAATCAAAACCTCTTTGACAAATTCAATGCTAAAAGGGCCTTACTCGCCTGTAAAATTTCACCTGAAGAATAGAGGAGAAAATGCTAATCCCTGGCAGACGTTACAATCCTATACAGATAGTCAAAATAGTTCTCATCACGCTTTCATTTTCTCTTGTTCGTTTGAAATGAACTTTCAAGTTGTTTGATATTCTGAGCGAAGCCTTCTATTAGCTTTTATTGAATCTTATCCTCTATAATACAAATAAGCTCATTGGATTCCTATAAGTTTATATTTTACAGTAAGTTAACAAGTCCTTCTAAGATCACATAAAATCTAGTAGTATGTAGAAGAAACGGTAAAAAAATACAAGGCTCACTTTGATTGCATAGTCGACCTGTCCACTACTTTCATCCCCAATTATTTCATACTCAGGCCTCATACTAAATTTCTTTTTTGTGATATCTTCTATAATATGAAGGACGGTATGTTATATAGTTAAAACGTACTCATTACACATAGACTCCAAACTTGTTATTACCAACATCTCATAACTTTTAAGTTGTAACTCGATATCTGCCATACATAATTCAAAATGCTTATTGTCATCTGGGATTTCGTGGATTTGTGATGTGAAAAGGAGTATAACTTCTGTCCCTTCAGAGACAAGATCATATTTTGCTAAAAACTTCTTCAAATTGCGGTATAATGAGAATGCTTTTAATTTTTTCTACTTGCATTCCTTAGCAAACTTTGCGAGTCTCATAGCAGGTCCTATTTCAAAACCACATTCCCTAAAATCTTCTTTAATCATATCAAGAAAGTCATAATCCATTATTTTCTGCTTTCGAATAATTTTTCATTATTCTCGTTAAGTCCTAAGTCCTATCCCAGCAAATATCAAGTCCAGCTATATCATATTTTTTAATTTCGTCCACTAACGAGACCATCTCATTTCCAGTAACAGAGGTAGAAGTAGAAGCTGAAGTATAAGGCGTACTGGTTTCAGAAGATATAGTGTTACGTTATTAGGATTCAGACAAAATAGTGTTACATTCTAGAGTGAGAAAATTTTATTTCTGTTTGAGAAAGAGAATACTAAGCATTAATATAGGCTTTTATGTCACACAGACATTACATCATTATATATGATCTGTTCTCATATACGTTTGATAAAATAATACTTTATTTATAAAATAAAATAGTTGCTGGTAACCGACCTACATTACATAAAAATTGGCTAAAGGCGCTATACATGACTATATCGGCTACATGATGTAAATAAAAATACTAATTATTTCTAGGTAGTATTCCGCAAAATCAGATCGGATCAGATTTTATCCAAATCTTATCCGATCTGATTTTCATTTTTCAGGATCCGAATCTAATCTGAATCTGACAGATCCGTTGAAATCCAGATTCAATCTGAATCTGACAGATCGAATCTCAAATCTGGATCTGACAGATCAGTTTAAATCCAAATCTGATCTGATCTAAATCTGAAAGCTTTATTGAAAAAACGAATTTTCAGTTCTAAATGAGATCTGAAAATGTTTCTTTTCAATGAAAGAAACCTTTTCAGCTCTAAAAAATTCCGAAAATTCGTTTCTTTTCATTGAAAGGAACCTTTTCAGCTCTAAAAGAGTTCTGAAAATTCGTTCCTTTTCAATGAAAGGAACTTTTCAGTTTTAAAAGAGGTCTGAAAATAAATTTATTTCAATAAAAGGAACTTTTCAGCTCTAAAAAAGGTCTGAAAATTCGTTCCTTTTTAATGAAAGGAACTTTTCAGCTCTAAAAAAGGTCTAAAAATTCATTTCTTTTCAATGAAAGGAACAAATTTTCAGATCTAAAAGTGTCCAAAAATTCGTTTCCTTTCAATGAAAGGAACTTTTCAGCTCTAAAAAAGGTCCAAAAATTCATTTCTTTTCAATAAAAGGAACTTTTCAGCTCTAAAAGAGATCCAAAAATAAATGCCTTTTTAATGAAAGGAACTTTTCAGCTCTAAAAAAGGTCTGAAAATTGGTTCCTTTTCAATGAAAGGAACTTTTTGACTCTAAAAGAAATCTGAAAATTCGTTCCTTTTCAATGAAAGGAATTTTTCGACTCTAAAAGAAATCTGAAAATTCGTTCCTTTTCAATGAAAGGAAACAAATATTCAGCTCTAAAGAAGTCCGAAAATTTATCCCTTTTCATTGAAAAGGAACTTTTCAGCTTTAAAAAAGTTGAATTCAGATCCGACAGATCAGATCTGAATCTGAATCCAAATCTGACGGATTAGATCCAAATCTGTATCTAAATCTAACAGATCTGATCTGATCTGAATCTGAATCCGAATTAGATCTGAATCTAACAGATCTGATCTGAATCCGATCCGTCAGATTTGGATTGAATTCAGATCGATCCGAATCTGTATAGAACACTATTTCTAGAGGGTATGCGATAACATTGATTCTCTTTTTACCAGCATAGATAGGTTGGGGTTGTGTAAAAAAATAACTATAAATTATATTTTACAGATTCATCAATACTGTACTATTCAATATAGTCACATTATTGTTTCTTAAATCAAGGATTATGGCATTGTTGCTCATAGAGTTTCTGACCTTATACAAAACCAACCTGCTTGAATCAATATCTTGAAATAGATCTAGGTAACGGTTTCTGATTTCAACCCTGAGAGAAAAAACTCGATTATTATTAGCATTAGATATCATTACTTCAAAGATATCCCTTGCTTCTTCACCAGGAATCAAACAGTTGAGAGTAATATTTCCACCTTCGAGTAACTTATCAAGTTTGATTTATCAGATGTTTCAGACTTATCAGAAACCTCAGTTTTATCAATCATCTTGTTTTCCTAAAACCCATAGTGAGAAAAAACTCCACTCCCATATACATAACTTCTGGCATATATATACCTTATTTTACATTATTTTACAAGAAATATTTTTGCGAAAAAGTTGGTTGAACTTCTGCATACTCCTACATATTTTATATCTCGCTTGGAAAAATTTAAGGAGATAAAAAAAGTGATTAGCATTATCGTATGATGTCAAGAAAACCTTGAAAGTACATGAGAATGAAACTTTTGACCTCTTCACATAGCGATCTACCTTGCAAGATGCAAAGTTGGACTAGCTTTTATAGATCTCGAAATTGCGAAGTCCTCAGCCCTTTATAATGAGGTAACGTGAAAAAGTCATATTAGTAACCATAACTCAAGTAAATTACGTAATAGAATTATTAGCCGAAATCACCTGACGTGCGACATAAAATCATTTTCAGACTTCAGTTTTGTCTATGCACTCATACTACTATACCTACCATGGCTACCCATGCCTGAAAGTATGAATCAAATGCTATTTGTCTGTAAATGGTTATATTCTCATTTGGAATCACAACATTTTGAAACCCAGGAGAAACTTAGAAATCACATCGATAAACACGACATTAATTCATGCAACAGATCATCTCTAGGTTATATATGTCCGTGGGAATGTTGCAATAAGCATCAAAGTAGTATTATTAAATTAGAAGGTATAAAAAAATGTCAATGTACCTTTTGCCTTTGCTAGTTCCGCTGATACTGTAGAAATTATAATAATTTACCATTTTGTCTTGTAGAACATTTATGTGGACACACTCGACAAAGATTATTCAAGGTATTTTTTGGTACTATTATTATTTTTTTTTCTTGTAAAACAAGAGTGATCGCGTTGAACTTTTTTATATTTTAATGTCTAATTTGTACTGGCTTGCGATTTTGTTCTCCTGATGCGCTAAACTGACATTTGATTATCAACTATAATGATTACTTTGTGAACCCTAATAGCGATGGAGATACATGTGATAAAAATGAAGAATTAAATTTAGGTATGTTACCACAATTTAGTGTAGATTTCAGTTGATAAACCTTTCGATAAACTATCAATAGCAATATAAAAACAGAAGAATAGAATCTGGCTTTTGGGTCTTGCTTTTTTTGTACTCTATATAATTGTTTACTGTTAATATGTTGTATCATAAATATTACTACAAAAATTGAATCGGAATTAGTATTACTTTCGTACTTGCCCATCTTATAACAATCGACGTAAAATCAGAGGCCTGTTCACAGCCAATCCAAAGCAATATCTACAAAATTTCGAAAAATATGATCATGTTTATGATGCTTAGCTAAACTTTATAATCGTCATTAAATAGAAAGACTAAGGATCCTAAGGGAACCGTTTAATTTTAATGAGCTTACCCATTATTTAGAAGTGAATCAATTCTACAGTATTATTGTATTAACAGAGTAAAAATTAATTCGAAATGCTTTCTTATATAGCCAGAAAAATGATTTGTAATATTTTTTTTATTGTATGGGTCGGTGCAAAAACATTTGTACTTCAGATAAATGCCAATAAAAAAATTTTTAACATAAAAATTTTTTTTTTT